ATGTAGGTTAGAACAACATTTCACTTGACTTCATTGTATTTCTTTAATCTTGAAGTTGTGTGATATGCAGATATATCAAATGTATTCTATGTGCTTCAGTGATACAGATTATTAAAATATTTTGGTGATTTACTTTCTGTGCTGTAATGAGGTCAATTCATCGTCTATCCTTGTCAGAAATGTTTCTCCCGGAATTGACACCAGTAACAATAGAGGCAAAGTAATGTTGTTGCAGTTGTAGAATTGAATAGAATGTGTAATTATGTACACTAGCCATAAACTCAAGGCTCCCAAAGACCTAAAGAGAATTGTTTGCAGTGGTTTTATTTGTGAAACACCATTTTTCTGGTAGGATAGTCACCCTTTGAGTGAACCATGCTTTGCTGAAGTAGTTAGAAACTTTAAAACCTGCAAGATGAAACATTTGATGATGATGATGTTGCAAAATAAGATGTAAAAGTTCATTGCCTGAATACAAAATATGATAATTCAGGTATAATCTCAAGTTCTGACCCTCAACACCATGTGTTCTGTGAAACCATGTCCATTTTAGTCTTAGTGAAAGCAGATGATAAAGTTAATGACTCCATCAAAGGACAGAATCTCTGGGCCGAACCATTGAAGGATTCCAATCTAACTTAAACATTCCTTGTTATTCAGCAAGATCCAGTCCAGCCAGCACTAGTAGAAGAGTTTAACATAGACACACGTAACCTGTGTCATCTGTTCAAGTTGAAGAAAGCCTGCTGTACTGATAACAGCTCATAAAGCATAGTGTCACAAGAGTGCTTGCACAATACAAAAGAATGGAAGGTACCAAGATAAAACCACATTTGTTCTTATAATTGACAGCAGTACTTCTAGCCATGAGTTAATTGAGATGTTCAAGGCTGGTGTGAATTATGTAAGGTGTGTGCTGCACAAAAACAAACATGACAGGGAAAATTCGACCAGATAATTGTTGGGTTTCTCCTGCACTGGATAGTTCTAGATGTCACTGGTAAATTCCCAGAGATTCCATGAGCCCATCACTACATACTTATACAGTGAGCCAAAGCACTAGTACAGACTGTTTGCAAATGTGTTAACCAAGAACTGGATAGCATGATTCACAATGCTGGACGAAATTAATACTTTCCAGGGAAATAAACAGCCAACTATTCACTGAAGTAGGTTAATTTCGGTGAAGACCCACATTTCACCTTATCATTAGTGGTATGATTGTTTGAACTTAAGTACAAAGCCACACGATAGGCTAACTGTGCTCTTCCCACCACTGGTATCAAAACAAGGTTTCTAGCATTGTAAGTCTGCAGACATATCATTGTGCCACTGGAGGGTAACCTGGTTGAAAGAATGGGTAATACAGGCCAGCAAGTTGAAGGTACCTTTAATGAACGTGTATACTACATATTTTAATGTGTATCTTTCCAGCAATGGATATCTTGCAGATGGTTAAGAATGCATTTTTGAAAAGTATTCTACTGTATTGAAGGATCATGTAGCGATAAAAAATTATTCTTTTTTAATTTTCTATTATGTTTTTCAGCCTTGTTCACCTAAGGTGTAGGTGTACTGGACAATGTTTCAATGTCAACTGTAAAACATACATTTACCTCAATAACTAGCCTTGTTAAGTTATCAAATACATAACTCAACAGAAGAAACAATTCAATAACTCTCACTAAATACACATTCACCGTTCACTTTCTCAACCATCTACTTGTATATGTAGAAGTTCCCTCCAGCTAACAAACTATAACAATGAACATATAGCTTATAAAATTGACCCTTTCTAGATTGTTAAGTCCTTTAAACAATCCTAATGAAAAAATACAGCACTATCCTAAATGTTCATTCAACAAGTATTTTTGGTGTTCATCATTCAGATGGGATGGCCTTCAATATTTTTTGTTCATTTGTTGTCCTGTTAATTGGGATTCTTCCTGATCTTTTAGTACACATAAAAGATGCCCTTTTCTTCTTTATTGTCACTGCCTGTCCTGTTGATAAGGGTCTCTGTAGGTCACTTGTTAAGCAAATCCATCAGTGGCTCTATCTTAATTGATCTTGTGGAAGTAGTCTCAACAGGATCACTTGGCTTTGCAGAAGTTTCACTTTCTGTTGACAAATTCTTCTTTGGATTTACCCATTTAGCCATTCTCTCACCGAAGTGATTACAGTAGAAAATGTTTGACTTGGTTGGCTTACCTATTGGAATCTGTAAACCCCCTTAGATTATATTAAGAACAACTTGTGACCCTTCCCAATACTTGCTTAACTTTTCAGTTTGTTCTTTCTTGTGGCAGTGTTTGTATATCAATACCATATCACCTTGATGAAATCTAGTCTTACCAGCATTAATTTCATAGCAATTTTATCACAACGTGATTTAGTTGTTTATGGGTGGTCACATATGAAGCAATTGGATATTTTTGAGGGAATTTTACAACTGCTTAAGTATTTGAGTGTTTAAAAGAGTTTAAGAAACTTTAAAAATTTAAGTGTTCTGGGTATAGCACATATACATAAAGAAATAACATAAGTAAGGACATCTATACCATGAAATTAGGTCAACAGCTACGTGAATTACAGCTAACTAGTTAGTTAATGTTCAGAATCACGAGTTAGGAGTTTTAAAAAATATAGCTACAACGAGGATGCTAAGAAAAATGCTAGTCACATGTTTGACAGTGATAAGTTACTGATGCCGATTTAGTAGTAAAGTAAAGGCTACTAAAAAGTTTATAATAGCATCTCAAATCAGTGCTTTGATGCAAGATCTGTTACTACAGACCAGAGCACTCATCATCACAATAACCAATTACTTGAGAGTTTTGGTTCTTGTTCTGGAAATGCCTGATGAGTTGCAGAAATTATACAATGAAGTGTCAGATCTACTTGCGGGTAGGTAGGATTACTATTTGGAAAATTGAAAGGATACAAAGAAAATATAGGATAAAACTCATGTCTGAAGGTAAAAATCAGATCTCCAGAAAGAACTGAGGTTTTCTCCAGAGCTAGAAACCATGAATATGAAAGTATCCAACCTTCAATGCCTTACCAGGCCAACTCTGTTGTAAGTAATGAACTACTACCTGTCAATTAATGTAATTTTGGATAAAATTATAAATGAATCATATGAGAAGATAACAAAATATTTTATATGTTAGTTACAAATATCAATGTTGTTTAACCTGAAGGTGGTTTGTTAAGAAGTATTAAATTATTACAAGTTTTATGGGTATTTCATGTTAGAAAACTTGAGTAAACTAATGTATTGAGTTATATATGTCTCAGAATCAATTTATTTAACCATAAATCTCCTCGAGTTAGTGACTTGTGAGCTCCACACACCACAACAATCCTCAATTAAATAAATTTAGTGTAATTGGCAGTATAATCGAAACTCTAACGACTAGCCCTAAGGGCACTGCTCATTACACACGACTTTCACAGTGATCCTTATCCAATATACATATTCTGTGAGATTCTGCTGAGTGACTTTTCTCTAAATGAAAATACAGAAGGTTAAATGGCATTTTTAAGTTTCTACCAAATATCAGTAATAATGGTATGCTGCATGTACTGCTATACAATAACTTATCAGTAACAGTAGAAGATCGTGATCCTACATTTTCTTATGTTCATCCACAAAAATAGTTAATTGATATAACAGTGTATGTTTATTTCCCTCAACCATCCTTTTGGAAGATGGATTAAGGGCTGTTGTCTGGATACTTTTTATTCCAAGGATCTAATGCATTTCCACAAACAAGGTTGGTTCAAAGTTCCATAGACAATCCTATCTTAAAATAAATTTGTCAAATTTCCTTGCTAGTTTCTACTTCTTTGTTAGAAACAGTATATGTTTCTGACCCTTTTGTGAAATAGTCACATTCATTATATAGTACTTGAACTTCTAAATACAATCACAACTAATATTAAAAATAAATAATTATGACAACACAAGTTTCACACCTTATAAAACTTTTCTCCCTTGTTGGAAAGTAATGAAAACATAAAATGGAAGCATAAACTCATGTTAAAGGTTAACAGTATATAAATTCAACCATGGAAATATGAAAGTATAATATCACAACAACCAACTTTACTTTCAACCACTATTTCCTTCACAACAACCAACTTTACTTTCAACCACTATTTCCTTCACAACAACCAACTTTACTTTCAACCACTATTTCCTTCACAACAACCAACTTTACTTTCAACCACTATTTCCTTCATCACAACCAACTTTACTTTCAACCACTATTTCCTTCAAAACAACTAATTTTACTTCTAACCATTATTTCATTCACAACAACCAACTTTACTTTCAACCACTATTTCCTTCACAACATCCCAACTTTCAACCACTATTTCCTTCATCACAACTAACTTTACTTTCAATCATTATTTCATTCACAACAACCAACTTTACTTTCAACCACTATTTCCTTCACAACAACCAACTTTACTTTCAACCACTATTTCCTTCACAACAACCCAACTTTCAACCACTATTTCCTTCATCACAACTAACTTTACTTTCAATTATTATTTCTTTCACAATAATCAACTTTACTTTCAACGACTATTTCCTTCACAGCAACCAACTTTATTTTCAACCACTATTTCCTTCACAACAACCCAACTTTCAACCACTATTTCCTTCACAACAACCAACTTTACTTTCAATCATTATTTCCTTCACAACAACCGACTTTCAACCACTATTTCCTTTACAACAACCAACTTTCAATCACTATTTCCTTCACAACAACTGACTTTCAACCACTATTTCCTTTACAACAACCAACTTTCAATTACTATTTCCTGGATAATTTTAAGAAATATCTTCTTAGTTTGAGTGGTTGAACAAAATCTTCTTATGATTCGTCTTCTTAACATGTTGACTGACATCAATACTTTAAAGTTCCTACTCAAAAGATCTATATGCAAGTTAAATATACACAAATACCAAACCTTAGACAAAATGGAACTGTTTATCAATATCTTATTTATTCTTTTACTAGTTTACAATAGAATCATGTTACTAGCATGAAAAATTGATATTGGTAGTCTGAGTTCATCAAGTTCCAGAATCCAGGAGATTAAGTGTTCAGAAAATCATCATAGCTGCACGTTCACAGTACATGTTGAAATATTAATATAAAAATATTGGTTCTAATCATTATTAACCGTCTATACAAAAGAGAAAAACAAGAACATGAAGAAAAACTGTCAGTTATAAAAGTTTCTTCCTTTTATAGCAACAATGACTGTTCTCTCCATCCTTTTCCAGTTAGGTTTATTTTTAACTTATTTTAATTTCTTTTATTGTCACTTTATCATGTCAACACTAACAGAACTCTATGGTTTCTATCCAGTATGTATTCCTTCATGATATCTTAATGCACTATTTGTCCTAAACTGTTTATTACATACAACACAAGTGTATGGTCTCTCCCCAGTATGAATTCGTTCATGTTTTTTTAAGTTAGAGTTACTTCGAAATTGTTTTCCACAGGTTTCACAACTGTAAGTTTTCTCTCCAGTATGTATTCTTTTATGATATTTTAATGCATTATCTGTTCTAAACCGTGTATTACATACTATGCAACTGTAAGGTTTCTCCCCAGTATGTATTCTTTGGTGTGTTTTTAATTCAGTGTTTGTTCTAAAGTCTTTTCCACAATTTGAACAACTGTAAGGTTTCTCCCCAGTGTGTATTTTATGGTGCATTTTTAATCCTCCATTTGTTTTAAAGTCTTTCCCACAAATTGCACAACAGTAAGGTTTCTCCCCAGTATGTCTTCTTTCATGCTTTTTTAAATCCCCATTTGTTATAAAATCTTTTCCACAAACATCACAACTATAAGGTTTCTCTCCAGTATGTATTCTTTCATGCTTTTTTAATTCCCCATTTCTTTTAAAGTCTTTTCCACAGATTGCACAACTGTAAGGTTTCTCCCCAGTATGTATTCTTTGATGATATTTTAATGCACTAGTTGTCCTAAACTGTTTATTACATACAACACATGAGTAAGGTCTCTCACCAGTATGTATTCGTTCATGTTTTTTTAAGTTACAATTGTTTCCAAATTGTTTCCTACAAAAGTCACAACTGTAAGGTTTCTCCCCAGTATGTATTCTTTGATGTATTTTTAATTCAGTATTTGTTCTAAAATCTTTTCCACAAACCACACAACTGTAAGGTTTCTCCCCAATGTGTATTCTCTTGTGTTGTTTTAGGTTTTCAATTGTTACAGATTCTTTTCCATATGACATATAACTGTAGGGTTTATCACTTTCCTCATGTATATCAGATTGTTTTACATTATTTATATTTCCACATATGCCATTGTCTACTTTCGGGCATTTGTTGACTTCTGTAAAAATATCTTCTTGTCTTAAAACATCATCACCAGGAAATTGACTTCCACAACAGATGTTCACACTGGTCTTTTTATCTAAGATCAAAATATATGATGTAACATAATTAATGTAGTTAGTATCATACATTACCTTATATGATCAGCTTTTATATTAATTTTAGAGGTCTAATACAAATACACGTTTCAGCATGAAGAATCAAGAGTAAGTGTTTCTAATAGATATTTTATTTTAAAAGTTTAATACAATAAAAATATCACTATCAAAATATTAAAGGTAAAAACAATTATGATACAATTTTCATAGTTTCACACTTTATAAATATTTTACTCTGTAGTTTGAATTACTATTGAAAAACATAAAATGGGTATAACATCATGCTGAAGAAAAAGGTTTATAATAGACAAAGTTAAATAAAATAAACTATATAAGTATTGTTACGACAGCGGAAGCACGTGATGCTGGTGACACGTGATCAATTTCTCGAATGATCATGAATGATTGGGGAGGCCCGAGTGCAATCGAGATGCCCCCTCTGTTAGTATATAAGCCTGTCAGGGAAGCCAGCGAGAAATGAATGAATAATAAAGCGAACAGTACTCACGGTAAGTTTCAGGCGAAGTTATTGAAATTGTGAATCGCTGTGGTTTATAGCGTGTATTATAAAAGTTAAGTTTAAAATGACGAGAAACGTACTAACAGTGGAATTTCTGTGTACAAAAAGTTTGCATTGAGAAATAATAAAATGGTTTAATCAAGAAAGGACTTGTATCGCTGAAGTTCCACTGAAAGAATTTCTACCGGAAATTAACAAAGAAGCAGATATGCAACAAATTGGTGTCAGAGAGTGGGACGGAAAAAAGAAGATGGAAACGATAAGTGGCAAATCAAACTACAACTTAGCAGATTTGATTGCAGCAATACATCAACAGCAAAAGAAACAAGAAGAACAAGAAAATAAAAAAGAAAAGAGACTACAGCAGTAGCAAGAGAACCTTCACCAGTGGCAGCTCAAACAGCAAAATAAACAAGAGAGATTACAGCAGTGGTTGGAGAAGAAAGAAAAGAAACAAGAAGAGAGACTACAGCAGAAGCAAGAAAACCAACACCAGTGGCAACTGCAACTGGAACAAGAAGAACGAGAAAAGAATCAGGAAGGAAGTCTCCAACACTAGTGGGAAAGTCAGCAGTAACTACAGGAAAGTCAGCAACAGTGGCAAGAAGTA